ATCGAAATGATTCGGAGAACCAATATTAGTGCGTGCAGGGAGAGAGTCATTACATCCACGTAATTCCACATATTCCTGGAAAGAGAAAAACAGTTGATGGCCACGTTTTGTTTTCGTCGAATATAAACATATATTTGCAATGAAATTGTCAACGAAAGAAAGGAGAGTTACGGAAAAGCGAAAAGCCGTTTAGCGACAACGTTTTAGAGATGTTGCTTCCAAATCGGCTTTCCATCTGTTTTCGTTATATCGGTAAATAAACATAAAAGAAAAATAAAAGAAAACCTGCTGCCTTATGGATGACGTTATGTCTTCGAATCAATATATAGCATTTTCAATCCATCTGCAACATCTTCATTGGACAGCTTAAGTGAATGTCGCATGGTGTTTGATTACCAATTTGAAACTTTTTTAACAGATGCTCGTTTTACAAACTTTGCAAAAGAGTTGTTAACATGCATTGACAAGACAAAGTAAAGAATATAAAAAATGAAAACAGAAGGAAAGCAAAGAAACGAAGAAATAAAGGAAAAAAAGTAATAAAAACAAAAAAAAAAGAATTTTTGTTACCGTAGATACACTTTAGATTGAGATGTTCTGTACTGTTGGAACTCTGTGAACAAAGAGCCAACATAAAATATCAGAATTAGGTATTCCTCTGTCCTTGGCGAAACAGAAGATGGTAGGATGGAAATTTTAACGTGCAGCACTATGAAGACCGACTGACTGAGCTTGTCCTTCAAAAAGATTACGAAAGGTGTCGTCAAGTAGCTTAAGTACTTATCTGCAAGAAAGAAGAACAATTTGGAAAGATATTTTCATTCTGCGAAAGACTGGATTCTTGGAAGTTAAATAAAGCCTTCCCAAAGCCTTCAATTCTTAGTTTTAAATATGAATTAAAAAGACTTCCAGGGACACATATAAATAGCGGCGGAATCTACGTTTAGTCACGCATTTGTACCACTGCAGAATTGTTAAGTATCCGCATTTCATCCTCAGGAATAATCACAATAATTTCGATCACTTTACTTTAATCTCCAGTTTCAAACAAACCAATAAACAAAGGATTTCTATGACTGTTTATCATTTCTAGAGAAGGCAGACTCAACACAAGTTCATTCCCTCCATCAACTAAACTCTTGAGTTACTTTCTTTTACGGTTATCACTGTATAAAGAACATACAAACCTGGAAGTGTCTTTACGGCTTTTCCTCTTCTCGTAGTCTTAGTGCCAGATTTCTGATCCATGTAGAATACATATGTGATGAGTGGACTTAGAAAAGGAGTCAAAGTCGTCTCAAGAATGGTGAAAATGTACAGAAAAACAAGCTTCCATCCTTCAAGGTACTGCGACGGCAAACCATAGTTCCATCTCTGGTTCACCAATCTGTACGTCAGTGGATGCGAGACAAACTGCCAAACATTGAGATTTATAAAATTAGATAATGCGCTGTTTTCAGTTGAAAGAAAACTAAGAGTCATTTGGGATGTTCTTCTACACCTTTCCATTTCTTTAGGAGCACGACTGCTTTAGA